TGTTTTAAATAGATGTCACCATCATAATAATTTATAATCTCTTTGCTATATGGTATGAAAAGCTTTTATATTATAGAACCTTGACTGGGAAGATCAAAATCACATGGGAAGGATATAAGGTACTTATCACCCCTTTTGTCCTGTCTGCTACTGGAGTTTTATCAAGGATGCTTTCAGTGAGCTTACAGAGTATAAATTTATGTCCTAATCCTTTGCTTCAACTATAGAAAGTCATTTTATCAACCTCTGTGATAGTTGACAGAACATGGAACATAAAGGAATAATAGTATGGAGAAACTTGTCCTGGAACTGTTTCTAGACATTCATTGAACAAGATGACTAAAATAAGACAGTCTTAACCACAACAATTACTTATGTTCACCTAACATCTCATAGTTGGAAACATGTTTTTAAATAATTCTCTCTCATGAGAGTGTTACTGTAATCCTATAATCAATCAGTAATCAACCAAGAAACATTTATTAAGCACGTACTCTGTGTCAGGCACTACACTAAACTCTGGAAATCCAAAAAGAGGCAAAAGACATTCTTGCTCTCAAGGGGCTTACAATATAATGGGGGAGACAACTTGCAAATACATACATACAAGTCAAGCTATATATAAGATAAATAAGAAATAATTAACAGAAAGAATTAAGAGGGGCTGGGGAAGGCTTCATAAGGAAGAAAGATTTTAGTTGGAACTTAAAGGAAGCCAGAGAAGTCAGTAGTCAGAGCAGAGGAGGGGGAGCATTCCAAGAAACAGGGACAACCAGAGAGAATGCCCAGAAGCTGAGAGACAATGTCTTACTCATGGAACTGCCAGGAGACTAGCATCACTGGATCAAAGATTATTTGTTGGGGACTGAGGTGTGAGAAGGCTGAAATGGTAGAAGGGGGCTAGGTTATGAAGGACTCTGAAAGTCAAACAGAGGATTTTATATTTGCTTCTGGATGCAATAGGAAACCACTGGAGTTTACTGAATAGGCACAGAGGGTAATATGCTTAAGACATTTTAGGAAAATGACTTTAGTGGCTGAATGGAGGGTGGATTGCAACAAGGAGAGACTTGAGGCAGGCACATGCATCAGGAAATTATTGCAATAATCTGGGGGTTAGGTGATGAGGGCCTGCACTAGAGTAGTGGCAATGCCAGAGGACAGAAGGGGACATGTTTGAGAGATGTTGCAAAGGTGGTATTGACAGACCTTGGCAACAGCTTGGATATGGGGGAGTGAAAGATAGTGAGGGATTCAGGACGATTCCTAGGTTGAGAGGCTGAGGGGCTGGGAGGATGGTGTTGCTTTTTGTTGTTTGTCCTTTGTACTCAAAGAGGACCAAAGACATCGTGATGTTGGGGTCAAAGGTACAATGTGTTCAACTATGGCTGATCATTCAATAAGAGCTTGGAAGGCTCTACCACAGGTTGGGCACAAATAGTCCCTTTGAACATTTAGGATGGAGATTTCTCTAGATTTGCACATCTCATGTTTATTTTGTGCTACTGCAATTCTGCTTTGCTTATGGAATTTATATGTGTGTATGCACACATGCATATACACATATATGTATACATACATATGATAAATTAGAGATAATCTCAGAGGGAAGGTACTAACATAAGGAAGACTGGAAAAAGCTTCTTACAGACAGTGGGATTTTAGCTGAGACTTGAAAGAAGCCAAGGAAGTCAGGAGATGGAGGTGGGGCATGAGAAAATTTGAGGAATGGGGGTTGGTTGGTTGTTGTCCTTCATTCTCAAAGAGGACCAAAATACCATCATTATGTTGGAGTCAAGGTACAGTGTGTCCCACTGTGGCTGATCAGACCAGTATGAATTCGGAAGGCTCTACCACAGGTCGGGCAGGAGTTGGGCACAAATCGTCAGTACAGGAATGGGGGACAGTTAGTAAAAATGCATGGAGGTTCAAACAGATAAGTGATATGAAAAGTATCAGGAAATAAAGATACATTTTGGACTATGGAGATCACAAAAGAATTCCTGGAAGAGGGGGTATTTAAATTAAATCTTAAAATGTTAAAATTTCAACTGAAAATAAAATTGGGATGATATTCTATGGCTTTATAGATACAGGAAAAACATGTGATGACTCTGAAGGGTATAAAAGTATACAAAGTAATATAGTATGACTAGACAATGGAATATTTTATTCAGAATGTGTGAGAAGATGTTGGAGAGTTCATATACTATTAACTTCTGGTGCACCTTGAATGTCAGTTTAGACACAAAATAAGAGTCATTGTGGGGATTTTCCACAGAGTGACCTGATCTGTCACTTGATCTCTGAATAAAGATAGGGGTAGGTGGGGCAGCTAGGTGGAGTAGTGGATAGATCACCGACCTTGGAGTCAGGGGGATCTGAGTTCCAAGTGGGCCTCAGACCAAATATTTGACATTTACTAGCTATGTGACCCTGGGCAAGTCACTTAACCCCAATTACCCCCCCAAAAAAATAAAAATAAAGATAGGGGTAGGCACTGGTCTTGTGATTTCATTGTTATAAGGAGCTCCCAGTGAATAATGTCTTCCAGTGAATGTCAGTGAAGAGATGATAAGTGCCTTACCCAGGGTCACTCAACCAACATGTGTAAGGTGGGACTTGGATCCAGGTCAGCTCTTTCCACTATTCCACAATTTATGCACAAGAATGTAATTTTATAACAGCATAAAAGATAAAGTTCAACATTTGAAAATATACACTTCATACATGGGTTCTCTTGCCTTTTTCATTTAATGGCGATGATAATGATAATGATAATAATAATAGCATTTATATGACACTTTAAGTTTCCAAATAACTTTACAAATATTATCTCATTTTATCCTCACATCAAGGATTGTTATGTCAATGTTGCTGCTGAAAGTGTTATTATTATCCCCTATTTTACAGTTGAGGAAACAGAGACAGAGTGAAAGTGACTTGTCCAGGGTCACACAGCTAGTAAGTGTCTGAGGCTGAATTTTAACTCAGGTCTTTCTAACTCCAGGTCTAGAACTTGATTCACTGATAATAGTATGGCACCATACCCTTTGACCCAGCAATAGCAGTTCTAGGGCTGTATCTCAAAAAGATCCCACAAATGAGAAAAGGACCCATGTGTACAAAAATATTTATAGCAGCTCTTTTTGTGGTGGCAAAGAATTGGAAATTGAGGGTGTGCCCACCAATTGGGGAATGGCTGAACAAGTTGTGGTATATGAATGTAATGGAATACTATTGTGCTATAAAAAATGATGAGCAGGCAAACTTCAGAAAAACCTGGAAAGACTTGTGTGGTCTAATGCTGAGGGAAGTGAGCAGAACCAGGAGAACATTGTGCATAGTAATAGCCATGTTGTGCGATGACTAATAGTGATAGACTTAACCCTTCTCAGCAATGCAAAAATCTAAGACATCTCCAAAAGTCTCATGATGGAAAATGCTATCCATATCCAAAGAAAGAATTATGGAGTTTGAATGCAGATGGAAGCACACTATTTGCTATATTTTTTCTTCTTGTGTTTTGTTTCCCCTTTCTGGTGGTTCCTCCTAATGGTTCTAATTCTTCCTTACAACATGACTAATGTGAAAATATGTTTAATAGGAATGTATGTATAGCCTATATCAGACTGTGTGCCATCTTGGAGAGGGAGGTGGGGAGGGAGGGGGAGAAAAATTTAAAACTCAAAAGCTTATGGAAGTGATTGTTGATAAATCAAAATAAATTAATAAAATAAATAAATAATAATAGTTATGGCACCTTCAGCAGCAGCATTGAAAAGCACTTTTCTTCTTGTTCAGTCATTCAGTCACAACTCTTTGTTACCCCATGGACCATAGCATGCCACTCCCTTCTATCCTCCACTATCTCTCAAATTCTAAGTTCATATTCATTGTTTCCATAACACTCTCTATCTCATCCTCTGCACTCCCCTTCTCCTTTTGCCTTCAGTTTTTCCCAATGTCAGAGTTATTTTCCAATGAGTCCCATCTTCTTATTATGTGTCCAAAATATTTAGACTTCAGCTTTGATATTTGACCTTCCAGTGAATCGCCTGAATTAATTTCTTTAAGTATTGATTGATTTGATCTCCTTGCTGTCCAAGGGATTCTCAAAAGTTGTCTCCAACCCCACAATGTGAAAGTGTCGGTTCTAAGGTGCTGTATCCAGTGTGCCACCTGGTTGCTCTAAAAGCACTAACTTTGTATTTATTTGACTGTGAGATCACAGAGGTAAAGGAGTAGTTCCTTTCAGAATTGTAATGGTTCTATCAGTTCAGGTCTAATGCACTGAGACTAAGCCACTCATTTTATTTTAAGTGACTTGGTTTTGCCACATTAGACTTGCATTGATAAAACTATTTGATTCATATAATAGAACTTGGATTCAAACAATATTTCTCTTCAATTTTTTGACCATTTAATAGCTGAAATAATATATTTCCAGTTACCTTCTTTCTTTGGCTTTGGCATTGCCCAATATCTTGAAAACCAACTATATAACTTTGAGCAATAATACTTAAAGCAATGTAGGTTGGAAGGCAGGAACAGTGAATTTTAGACCTCTCTCCCTCCCTTTGACCTGCATTTTGATGGGAAATGCCTGTTCTTCCAGATAGCTCCACTCCCAAAAGAGAGTGCAAAGTCTTGGTTTTTAAGGGGTTCAGACACCAAAGACAGGATGAAGAAATGTGTTCAACACCATGGCAGTGGGACTGGGCTTGGGAAAGAGTGTTAAGTTCTCAGGCAAATGGGGCTTTCCAAGGGGCCAGGAGGGCTCTTTGAGCTCCTCCAAGTCCTTGATTGCTTTCACTATCCCTTTAATTTCTTGTGGGGAGGGAAGAGGGCATCTTCTGACAGTGAAAGAGAATTTGTCCAGGACTTTGACACAGTAAAATTTATTTTAATTCAAAACTCTGAAGTTGTAAAGAATGAGAGAAGTGTGGTCTGGCTGAAATTTACATTGTTGCTAATGTCAGACATTTGTTTTGTTCCAGCTCTCAGCATTAGAGAGGCAGATCTTTGACTTCCTTGGCTTCCAGTGGGCACCAATTCTTGGAAATTTTCTACACATAATAGTTGTCATCTTGGGCTTGTTTGGAACCATTCAGTTTAGACCTCGATATATAGTGGTGGTAAGTCTCTTACTTTTATCATGTCCTTAATTTGCACAGAGAGGAAAGGTTATGTATTGGACAGAGAGCTGGCCTCTGAAATAGGAAGATCAGACTCTCCTACTAACTGTGATCACAAGCAAGTCACTTAATTTTTTCAGTGCCTCAAGCAATTCTCTAAGACCACCTTACAGAGTTGGTCCTTATCTGCATATTAGGAGTTCTCTGTACTAATGAATCTCAGGGTCCAGTATATAAACTTTTCAATTAAGATGTAATTCCTCCTCTTAAACTGCTTCAGGGAAATGATAAGATTCTACATTCTGAGTTCAGAAAAGCACTTCATATCATCATCTACTTATCCTCACTTTCTATGTGAGGGAATGAAGGCCTAGAGAAGATATGTGTCTTGCCCAAGGGAATAACAGGATATGAATTGATGTCCTTGGTGCCAAATCCATTGAATGAAAGTATTTCAGTAATTCCTTTTGATGTTTTGTTGGCTCCACAGATGACTCCCTTATAAAACTGTAATCTGGGAGAAAAGAAAATATGTACAATTATATTTTCCATGTTACATGATAAGACAGATTATATATTAATTACATTAATTAATTAATTAATATACATTAATTATATATTAATACATTATATATTATAGATTATATATTAATACATTAATTAATTAATTAAGTAGCTTGACATTAAGCATAACTTAATACATGGTCTAACAAGACATTTTTATGACAGAATATGACTATAGTCAGCTAACTATGACCTTCATTTTGTCACAGGGAAAGTCAGTGCCATTTTAGTTATAAAATAAATGAAAAATTATAATAAACTCAAAAAACTAGCCACATTACTCCCTGTGTGGCTTTGGGCAAATTACTTCTCCCCTGGGCCTCAGTTTCTTTATCTGCAAAGTAACAGGGTTGTGCTCTATGGCCTCTGAGGTCTCTTCTAACTTTAGATGTTATAATCCTAAAATGTTCTTTCCTACAATTGGGAGCTTTTGGCTCCTTTCTTTTCTGCAGTTACCTCAAAATTTCCCTTATATGTCCTTTAAAAAAGTTGGTTCAGAAACCACAAATGTGTACCTCATTGGTTGCTTACATAGTTAGCTAAGTTGTGGAGTGGATAGAGGGTTGGTCTTGGAGTCAAAAAGACCTGAGTTCAAATCTTGCCTCAAATTATTACTAGGTGTCATCTTGGGCACATCACTTAACATTTTTAATCCTCAGTTTCTGTAAAATGGAAATGATAATACTTACCCCAACTGGTTGTTTTAAGGATCAAATGAGATGATAATATATGTATATATAAAGTATTTAGCAAGCTTAAAGCACAATGTAAATGCTAGCTCCAATGTAAATTAAGCTCCTAATGACCTTCATCCTGTTTTTTACTTAATATTTTTTTCATGTTTTCAAGATCGTTTTGAATTTAAACCTATTCTTGAAGATTATATAATGCTTTCTTAATTTGATGGACATATGCTTGATTTTTGTTAATTTTTAAAAATGCAATAGGAATATTTTCAACTTCATTTTCTAGAGAATGATCCTCTATGTGCCTCATTCTTCCCATCTAAAAATTGGGGACAATATTGTCAACCACCCTTGTGAAGTAGTTGTGAGAAATAACAAACCATATTTAAATTACAACATACTAGAATGATAACAATATGCATTAAAAAACACTTAATAGAATAAGATATAATAATTCGTGTGATTGTGCGGTAACTGCACACTCTGTTAATTTTATCTGTAAAATTTCTGATTCTCATTTCATTTTTTTCAAATAAGACTGGAGGAAGAATTCTGGATTTGTAGTTAGAGAAACCAGGTTCAACAGAGCTGTGTCCTAAATATTGTGTAACTGGCAAATCACTTAACATTTCTGAGTCTCAGTTTCTTCATCTATACAATGACAGGGTTGGGTTAATTGACCTCTGAGTCCCTTCAGGGTCTAAATCAATGACCTGTGAATTAAGGTATAACACTGATATCATTTGTAGCTCTCAACAACAGTTTTTGGAATTTTGTATTATGTCACTGAGATGAAAGTAAGTGGAAGTGGGAAATCTGAGACAACTGTCTAGAATAGGGGTGAATAATCAAGGCACCCTCTAGAGCAGGAATTCTGAACCTTTTTTCTTTCATTGACCCCTTTGGGAATCTGGTGAATCCTATGCACCCTTTCTCAGAATAATGTTGTCAACTGTATTCATAATTGAAGAAAATGTTTAAATTTAAGCTAGAGATTAGTGAAATAAAGATGTAATATTTTCTCATCACAGTTACTAAAATCTATCCATGGACCTTTGGGAGGTCTGGGGACTGTAGGTTAAGAACCCTTGAACTAGACCAGAGGTAGGGAGCCTTCAGCCTTGAGGCTACATGTGGCCCTCTAGGTCCTGAAATCTCCTTAATAAAAGGATTTGTTCTGTGAAGTTTGGATTCAGTCAAAGAACTGCACTTGAGGACCTAGAGGGCCACATGTGGCCTCAAGGCTACAGGTTCTGCAGCACTGATCTAGACTCTAGGGTCTGTTTGTTATCTATAGAGGGTCATATATTTGTAGGTTAGAATCATTGATACCAGTTTATGACTTATTTTCATATAGTGCTAACCAAGAGACTTAGCTCTTTTAAGTAATGGCTGACTGAATTTACGAGATGAAATAATACATCCTTATTATGACAATTCACCCTTTTAAAAAAAATGCTCAAAAGAATTGTATGAATATTGATTAAACACTAATTACTAAATATCTAGTATACTCTCAGGTATATTTTTGAATTTAATGGTGTTTACTTTGATTCAGAAGCCTCTGGTTCTCCAGTCACTATAAATGAGATGCTATTTGAAAAGCACTTAGCATAGTGCCTGGCACACAATCAGTACTTAATAAATGCTTATTCCCCCCTCTCCCCCTTATGGTACTCTAGCTCTACAGAGCTCAAAAGGTATGAGAGCCAATTGTGACATGTTTCTCTTCTGTAGGTAAAGGAAGAGCAGAGGCTTTCCTCATTCTCATCCTTCTCTAAAGCCTGGCTTTTGTTTTTGCTTTTGTTTTTATATTTCCAGTAAACCTGCCCCTCTCCCCTTTTTTTCTGCTATTGCTTCCATCTGTGGCTAAAATGAAAAACAAAGAAACCTCGGATAGTTAATAATTTCTGGGTATGACTCTAGTGTATGACCCTTAGGCAGTGATGAGAATTAGCATATGCAGTTCTCCTCATCTTCATTGCTACTACTTTAAACATTTAACTATTTCTCTTTCCTCTAACAAGGAAGGATTATTTAGCACCTAATAAAGCTCTTTATTTAAGGAGGTGCTTCAACAGTATTTACTTTTTTTTGTGTGTGAGGAAAGATCTCTTAAAGGAGTTCTGCCCATTACCTCCAATCCTCTAGGAGACTCTTGACTTCAATATGAACCATAGCAATTTTTAAATGTAATGCATAACACTATATAATTTCCTTATAACTTCCAAGGCCAGTGTTTAGCTATCAAATTTACTAATGACTGCTTGAAAAAAAATTATAAAAGTCAGGTGTATATCTATATGGGTAAGCTTTTTTTTAATTGTCACCTCAAAAGGAAAATAAATATGGAACTGCTAGTTTGACAAAATATAATAAAATGGAGGAAGTGGCATTAATTTTCATTATTAAGAGCAAGACATAAGAAGACAAGATTGTTTCTACCTAAATAGTATTTACCGTATTAAATACTACCTAAATAGTATCTACCATATTGTTTCTACCTAAATAGTATTTAAATTTGCTGTTTTCTTGGACTGAATTATTTATCATTTACGTAAAGCCTCCTATTACTGTGATACTTCTAACCTATATAAGCAAAAACAACCAATCAAGGTGAGAGGAGACAGGTGAAAATTCACCCATAAAAAAGCTGTTGGCATCTGGAAAGGAACAGTGGCCTAAAAACTGATAGTGTTATTTGTTAGCTGTGTAATAACTGGCAAGTATTTTGTACACAATTATGCCTTATAATTGGTACAGTGCCTTCTTTGTTTGAAGGAAAACTTAAAGCAGGGCTCTTTCTATTCAGACTTGGGAGTCTCACCTGTGGAGTGGATGGACTGCTCTCGAGTGCTGAATCGGGACTGAACCAATGCATACAGAACACTTGTACTAGCTATCTCACGTAGTTGTTTGTAAGGAAAGCCTCTACAGAGCTATATGATAAGAGCTAATATTATTCTTCATATAATTACTTCTGGTTTTATCATTATATAGTTATTCAAATATAAGTATATTCACTAAGTTATACTCTTACCACTTACTGATTGAAGTAAATATTATATATATATATATATATATATACACACACACATATAATTAATAGTGAAAATACTGTACACTTTATAGTTACAATTAATAAATCTAAAGTCCTTAGGATCATAGATTGAGTTGAAAAGGAACCAACAAGGTCATTCAGTCCAATCACCTCATTTTACAGATTAATAAATGGAGGCCTAGAATCATTTGGTCATGCAAACAGTAAAAGACAGAGCTGAAGCTGAAAAATGTTGATTCGTAATCCAGGAATCATTTCTCTACCATGGTGGATGAACCTCTAGGCTGAAAAAGTAAACAAACAAAAAACTGATGCAGGATGTTCTCATAGTAATAAGTTTGAATCTGTGTGAATAATCACTAGCAAAGAATAATTTGAATACTTGAATTTGTATGAACTACTGCTCATAATAAAGGATAACAAGTATTTTCTAGGCCTTGAATATGTACATAATATGTATATAAATAAACATATGCAAAATAAATAATTAAGGGATTTAAAAACAATGAGTCATCAGTGAGTTGTTAGAAAGGGTCTGCAGTTCATCAGCTTTTAAAATAATAGTCACATTCACAAACTGCCAAATCAGAACATGAAAATTAAGGGTAAAGCCATTTTAAAAGAGATTTAAAAAAATTCAAAGGTTATTAAAAGGGAGTAACTCAGGCTAATCATACCTTACATGTGACAAAGAAGAAAATGATTTCATGCAAACCAGTAACATTCTATTCTAAACTAGAAGATATTTAGGAATTAATTTATTATGACCAAGATTATAGCCTAGTGATGCTTTAATTATGTTAATTGATCAATCCAAAAATCAATAGCATTTATTAAATACCTACTATGTACCAGATACCATATTTGGTAATAAGAATGCTAAAATGAAAATGAAAGTGTCCCCGCCCTTGAGAAGCTTTCATTCAATGGGGGAGTGAACATATATAAGTTTGTTTAGTCATTTCAGTCATGTCCAACTCTTCATGATCCATCTGGGGTTTTCTTGGCAAAGATACTAGAGTGGTTTGCCATTTCCTTCTCCAGCTTATTTTGCAGATAAGGAAACTGAGGTAAATGAGGTTAAGTAACTTGCCCAGGGTCACACAGTTAGTAAGTGTCTGAGGCCAGATTTGAACTCAGGAGGATGAATCTTCCTGACTCCAGGCCTGGCACTATCCACTATACAACCAAGCTGTCTGTATAGAAGTATAGACAAGATATATTCAAAATAAATACAAGGAAATGGGGACAATGGTACTATCAGCAGGGGATCTGTAGAAGGTAGCACTTGAGCTGAGATTTAAAGTAAATTAAGGCTTCTAGGAGGTAGAGAGTGTTCCCTGGAAAAAGGGACAGCTGGTGCTAGGATATGGAGTTAGGAGAGTTATATGTACAACAGAGCAAGAAAGATTATTTGGTGAGATAATATGTGTATAAATGACCATATCTAAAATAAAATTAAGTACAAGCTAATTTGGAAGGGAAGATACTAGCCCCTGGGAGTAATAAGGAAAGGAACTGTAGAAGGTGACCTTTGAAGGAAGCTGGAGGTTTTAAAATGTGGAGATGAGGAAAGAATGAATCCCAAGTTGGGAGAGAGCAAAACTGCTCTTCCTATACAAAGACACAGAGACACAGAAGACAAAGTATCATTTGTCATCAACAATGTCAATTTGGCTGAATCATATAGATTATGAAGGAGAATAATATATAATAAGACTACAATAATAGAGTGGGAAAAGGTTATAAAGGCTTTTAAGGTGTAGATAGAAAAGTTTATGTTTGACTCCTAGAAGTATTAGGAGCAACTGGAGTTTATTGTTTGATGAAGGAAAGGTTAACTATTGATATATTTAAACCTATACCTTAGGAAAATCATTATGGCAGCTATTTGGGATTAGGCCTGATTGAAGACAGTCCCCTGGTAGTTGATATTTTAATTTTGGAAGTCTATCATTTTCCACCAGCTAAGCATCAAAAAGTACCTGGAGTTCCTCATGGCTGTTTTGTACTCAGACAAGCAAGTCTCAAGGATGGTCCCATACCTTTAAAGGAAAAACTTGCCTAACTTGCATAGAGGCAAGGGTTAGGATATTCCCCCTGCTAGAGCAGTGGCATGGTGAATGTATGGAATGGTAAGAAGAAAGTGTCAGGGAGACTAATTTATAATTTATGAGGCAATAATCATTACTTCTGAAAGAAAGCACTGATTTTAGTTATTATCCCTATTAAATAAAAATAAAGCATCAAAATAAGGATTACAATTTTCTGAGTAAAGAAAAAAAATTAAAGTAAAGAGGCCATCAGTTGTACTTCCTATGGGTGAGGATTCTTCCAAGTTAAATATTTCTTCCATTCCAAGTGTTATAAACTTTAATTTATTATGACTAAGCAGTGTGATCTGGTAGACATTTCCCAAAATGCAGTTAGTTATTAACAATAATATTATATTAAAGTTCACATTTATGCAATGCTTTGTGAAGAACTTTATATATGTTATCTGTTTCAATTGCTAAAATCATTTGAGGTAGATGTGGTTATTATTCCCCCATGAGGAAAATGACACGAAGGTCAATTAATTCTCCAAGAATTCAAACTCAGTTCTTTCTGACTCTTCTCTATCCATTATATTTTACAACCTCTAAGTATTTGGTTATGATGTTGAGACTATTTTGGGAAAGAAATTTTCAAGTTTTAAGAATGTATATTTTGAAGAACCTTGCAGCTGATAAACCTCTTAGTTTTGTGAGGTTCTATGTTGTTTACCTAGCATATGATTAACAAAAGGCTTTTGTACCTCTCTTACAGGGAAATTAGTCCAGGAAGTCCAATAAATAAACCACATACAGTATCACAAATTCAGAATTGAAATAGGCCTTAGAAACCATTTAGTCAAACTGTCTTTTTTTGTAGATGAGGAAACTGAGGCCTGAAGAGATTATATAATTTGCCCAATATCACACAGTTAGCACAGGGATTCCAACCCAAGGCTTTTGATTTCAAATATAGCACTTTTGCACTTTTGTACTTTTCCACTTTCCTCGAGAGCTATTGTAAAGAAAGAGCTTTCAATTTTCAGGGCAATATCCTGCATCAGAGCAATGGGGATGCTAGTATTTGACTCACAGCCTTTAATGCCTGGCAGACCTAAGTCATTTTTTAAATTATGGGTGACCCCACAGTGAGTTTGGATAATGGTGTTCATTGAAGGAGAAAATACTTAGAAAACAGTAATCAAGTCAAGGTTTTTGGATTTACTTGTGCTGTAGGCCAGTAATGCACTTTAAAGAATAAATCTAAGCTTTACTGTCAACTACTAAAAGCTACAGAGTATATTGGATTTGTAATTTCTAGAGATCTTTGGAGACCTACATAAGAAATCTTTTCCCGGGTTCTCCCTGTCCACTCCTTCCCAGAAGACTTATGCTTGTTAATGTTTCTTATTATTGATCTGTTTAGTATGTAAGCCTTTCATCTTCACATTTTTCTTCTTTTTCTTTTTTTCCTTCTGTCTAGTACACGGTGTGGACTGCCCTCTGGGTCACCTGGAATGTTTTCATTATCTGCTTTTATTTAGAAGTAGGCGGGCTGTCTAAGGTGGGTTGATCATACCTTTAACTTTGGGTGAAGAAAATGCTTTGGCAAATGACAATTATGATTCATACAATTTTATTGTTGGCTCATTGATCTCAAAACCAAGAGAAAGATTAATCATCTTTAAAATAGATGTTTGGCCCTTAAAAGTATCTGGTTTATGAGTCAAGTGTATATATTACCTTGACTCATAGGAAAAATGTAAATGAATATACAATTGAAAGCACATTTGGACCATTATAATATATAGTCTTATTTTTGATTGTCAAATGCTAAAGTGGGCAAGTCAGTTCTCAACATGTCCCTGTGTTTTGTTTTAAAAGGTACAATGCTGCAGTAGCTAGAATTCTAAATGGGGGAGTGCAAGATGTATTTGAATATTCTTGGGATTGGAGCAGCCAAAGGGATTGAGGAGGTTAATGCAATGGCATGATGAAAAATGACATCACTATTGGAATACTAATTCTGAAGAACTACATGAAAATGGGTGATATCTTCCCACATTTGAATGGAGCATTCTATTACTTTTAACTAAAGGCTGTGGTACAATGATTCATATTTCTTATTCTTGAGCAGACAGAAGACAGTCTCTTGGATGAAGCCTTATACACGTTTTATTTCCAACCACACAAAAGTAAATGTTAGGATAATTGAGAGGTTTCATTATAAGTTTTACAAAAATATTTTTGATTGCCACCCAAATATAAAAGCAGATTGCATTGCATTTTTATTTACATTACTTGAGATGATTTTTTCCCCCTTATACACCAGCACAATCTGTTACTATGGAGCAGAACCTTAGCAGCATCATTAAAGCAGGAAAATCATAGCTTTTTTTTTTTTTTAGGTTTCTCATTACCAGCTTGTAAAGGCATAAGATTTGTAGGGGGGCAGATTATTTCTGCCAGCTACTCCAATTGTAAGGCCAAATGTAAAGGGGCTGATCTGTTCTGCCCTGATAGGCCAATTGTAGAGTTGCAGACCCTGTGAGAGAATACAGAGATATCGAAGAAAGAGGGGCACATGATAGGATGTTACATATAATAAATATATGTAGATTTATTGGGATTTATTAAGCTAACTAGGTTGTTTAAGAGAGTTTTATCATGAAATCCAGTCCTTGGAGGCAACTGGACAGAATAGTGTAATGGATCCCCTCACCTATCCCAGGCCAAGTCAAATACCATATAGAAACAGAACAAAGAAGGCATAATGCTAGAGATGCCCCAGGGTCACATGCAAATGTTCCCATGAGATAGCTGGAGCTTCTTTTGCTGTTTGCATATACTCAAGGTAGCTTATATTCTTCTGTGAAGTCTTAGGTTATGATCCCAGTTCAGCTACTACCATCCACAGTTAGTTATATCTAGGTAAAGGTGTTCTTTTATTTTGAGGATGCCACAAAGTCGTCTGAGAGACATAGGGCCCCTCCTGCAAGCATTTGTGGATAAGATCTGAGAAAAATTTATCCAAAACAGCCTACTGCTGCTAGACTCTTTCTAACAAAAGTGCTAGTGAAGTCCATTTTGTAATAAAGAGAACTCAGTAGAGTCAAGCTACGAGAAACCCCCAGAGGATTTTCTTGAGAACCTCCAAAGGTGGCTCCCCTTTGTTCCATACTAAAATAACTTTATAATTAGAACTGATCACCATTTTCTTATGTTGTCAAATGCATTCAGATTCCACCATATACTACAGTTCTCACAATAAATTCAACAAATATTGAAAATTGTAAATAAGGTGGATTTTAGTGTGTGTAAGAAGGATTTTATTATTCCTTTTTAGATAATAGTTCTAGGATCCTAGATAATATTTCCCATGAATTATGATTAAAAACAACTTCTACCACGCAGTTGCAGTAGAGATATAGGGGTGACATAATGTATGCCTATGCTGTGCTAGGTCATAACGATATCGCTAAAGTTAACCCTTGAACTTAATGTTGGCAAGATGCCTTCTTTGTCTATGGCCCTATAAAGCAAGTGGGCACTGGTCAGTGAGTGGGGGACCATTTTGGGATTTGGGTAACGCATAGAGGAATGCATGTGCCTGTCTTAATCAGCCCCCATCAAGGGTCGGGGATAATCTGTGTTTGCCTCAACTGGTCCCCATTGAGGCTTAGGGGAATGAGATAGGAGTTATGCTCCTACTTTGTATATTCTCACCCACCCCTTCGAGAAGTGTGATTAGGGAATGCTGTAGGAGTTGGTGCTCCCATTATCAGCAAACACCCTATTGAGAAGACTAGACTAGAATAAAGTAAGCTTATTTAACCTCTCCAAAGCTGTCTTCCTGTCTGACCAGATCAAAAGTGAACCTGTGCTAGAACACCTGTTAGTGTTAGGAGCCCTCCTGTGTTCTCCTGCCCAACAAATGGTGTTACCTGGCTGTTTACCTGTGAAACAAAGATAGTATTCATTTGCTTTCTATCATTAAAATAAGTAAAACAATATAAGTAAACAATAATCTGTCTACTATCTTAGACAAATTTTAAAGTCATTTAAAAATTCAGATTTTCTGAATAAGAAGTCATACCTATTGAACTTAGACCCAGGACTTTTGGATTCGATTTGTGTTTTTTCTGTTTTATCATTTTGACTATCAGTTTGACGTAATATTTATTAGGCATTGGGAAACCACTTTTTATTCTTCCTGTATGTGCTAAGACTGGGAGGGATTTGTAAAATGTGATCATGCATCTCTAAATGTTAAGACTCACTCTAAAAGAAGAGTGTAAACTGAGGAAATTTTGTTGTTTGATCTTTAAATGACACTCCAGGCTCATCTAAGATTGGGCATGCAAGTCACTAAGAAGTAGCTTTCTGTCTCCCCAGAGGTTCTCTGGCTGATTTGTTAATATCATTCCTTACTCTGCTTGTATAATCCCTCCTTTTCCAAGCCTGGCCTACATCCTTACCTCCTCCTCTTAGGCATGTGGGTACAGCAGGCAAGGAAACCAAAATTGAGCCTTCTTCCTTCCTTCCATAATCTAAAGCTCTGTCAAATCCTCTAAACCCTCTTGAGCATCAGTGATTATTCTCTGAACTGAGAAATTTAGGGACAGCAGGGTATTTGTGACTTTGTCAAAGGAAAATGCATTCAGTTCCCAAACCAGTAGTTCATTGCAGAAGGCAGCATACATCTGTCTTTTTCTTCACAAATAACTATTTAAAACAAAGCAATCCTCCTCCCTCCCACCTCCTGTATTCTGTGGTTAAAGCTGAGTTTGTTTGTTTGTTTGTTTGTTTGTTTTTACTATGGGTTACAATTTAACTTTTAATTAAACTTGACACTTACTTGTATATAATGCTTACTATGTGCCAGGCACTGTGCTAAGCACTTCACAATTATTATCTCTTTCGATCCTCACAACAACTCTAGAGAAGTAGATACAGTTACTATTATCTCCATTTTACAGATGAGAAATCTGAAGCAGACAGAGGTTAAGTGACTGGACCAGGGTCCCACAGCTAATAAGTGTTTGAGGCTGGATTTGAACTCAGGACTTCCTGACTTAAGGCCCAGCACTCACCCATTTATCTGCCTCTTATGCAAGATACATTCCTCCCCACAAAGCAATACTACCAACAGAATTTATTTCTCACCTTGACCACTAAATCACGTTCAATATGTATAGATTGGATGGAAAATTTGCATCATAACCAATTTCTTCAAGTAGGGTTTGGGGCCCATTTAAGATTTTTTAAAGCTCAGATGGCAAACCTTAATCATCCTTTCTTGCTGATTTAAAAGACACTGGATTGATTCTATGCCAAGACTTGTCTTAGCAACCTATGTTTTACATGCATCAGATCATTCTTCAAAGAGGGTGGGGCAAACACATTCCAGTGATAACAAAAAAATTCAAATATTATATTCCGTGATGGAGGGATGTTCTAACTTAAAATGAAAGAGAGTTAATCTATAAGGTTTTGTTTCACTTTTGGGATATGCTTTTGGTTTGGTATGTGAATATAGATGTGTTTAATGGACTAGAAAGTCACAGTATTATGTTCCAAACAAAATAATCAAGAGACACTGATCTGTCTAATTCAAGGAGAATTAGATAGTTCTTTTCCCCCATTTTCCATGCTAGAGAGAAACAGCATCATATGTCATTTGATTCAAAGTGGCAGCCATACCTAAATTCCTCTCAATCTCTTTCTCTTTTTCTTAAAAACATTTATGCCAGTCTGTACAGGGACTTAGAGGGATATGACAAAGAGTCACTTGGACCAGTGATGCTAAGATCAACAGGCCTTTACTTGATACTTTTTAACTTACCTGAGGGGGAAATGCTTGGGAGTCAAGGTGACACTCAGAGATGGAGGCACAGGGTGGGAAAGGCCTAGGAGAAAAAGACACAATCAGAGCAGACACTGCCTTTCTGGTACAATAGTACTTCCAAGAAGATTCTATCTTTAGCCTCAATGCCCCCAGCTTTAGTATTCTAGTCCCTTCAAATCTGATCAGAGACATCTGAGATACTATCTCCTCCATTAAAGCAATAACTGCCCTATCCAAACTAGGGTCTCTCTCTCTCTCACATACACATACACATGCACTCACACTCACTGTAGCCAGTATCGAGAACCACCAAAATTAAGGCATGAGCTACCATGATTCCTATACAAGGCCATACCACACATTGGGGCAGGGCTGGTCTGGATCCAGGGGTTTGTTAAAAAGGGTTGGAGTCTTGCACATCCCCTATGAATTGGCATTTCACTTTTAGTGTTACAGATGAAGAGGCACCAATTATTAAAGTTGCATGGGAGATGGAAGCCTCTGGCTCTAGATACAGACACTTCAAGAAAAGGGAGGAGTACTAAGAAGGAGATGGAGGTGATCAGTTAGTGGTAGGGGAAGAAATTGTTGCAAGAACAGCTAGGCCCCCAAACCACAGCTTTCTTCACACTAATACAACAGCTGTCCTTCTGCCTCATAGTCTCTGGGTTGGAGAAACTTTATTAAGTATTTTGGTTTAGAATACCTCCTGTTGT